ACTTTATTTTTACTTTTAATCGACTACAAACTACTCACCAATATCACAAATTACACCCATGTGCAAACATAAAGTAAGTAATGAACTAGTATAAGCTTAAAAACATATATTCTTTTACAATATTTGTCATAAAAAATAATAAAACAATCTATTTATTTGATAAGCAAAAAAGTTTTGTATGTATTTGTTAATTATAACTGCCTTGTAACAAAATGTTAGCAGAGCTTCTTTATTTTTTATTCTTTTAGAATATACACGTATTCTTTTTTTATAATGTAATAGCATTTGCATTTCTATAAAGTATATTTGTTGTTAGAGTACTGTTTTCATTTGAACAATGAACTTTTTATAGCTATACTCTTTTCTTTTCTTTTTTTTTAACTTCGTCTTTTTTTTTTTAACTTAGTCTTTTTTTTTACCAGGCCATTTTTTTTTCCCAAACACGACTATTTTGTTACGTTCTGTAACACGTTTGTAATGATCTAAGCTAAAAATCACAAACCACCTTCCTAATATGTATTCTTCTGAACAAAATAATCGCAAAATGCTTTTGATTTCCGCATTTTGCCCTCAAAAATAAAAAAAAGAAGATATCGGTCTTTCAACGATAGAGAGGAACAGGATTTCCAAAAAAAGATCATTTGAAAAAAAAAAGACACTTTTTTAAAACATGAATAACTTTATGAATACTTACCCTACAAAAAAAACAAAAATATCGTTAAATTTCTTTATTTTTTTCGCACCTAAATCTTTTTTCAAAATTCAAAAATGACCAATACAACGAAAGTTACATCTTTTCTCCAAAACCCATAAATATCTGTCAACCAAAAAATGTTCAATCTTGCGATATGCTTTATCCAATTGGAACGATAATTTGCAGTGCACGTGATTAAATGCAGGACGAAGAGATGGATTTAGCCACATATCAGGTAGTGATAATGTACTAAGGGAGGAGATATACTTTTTGAAGGACTTGTATAAGACGGTAAAGATATATCCACTGAAGTTGCCTATTTGATTTTCTATTAATTCACTTCAAATCGAACGAGAACCTAGGCCGACTGAAAAAACCTACTTCGAGCAATTGGTACCAGAATAATAAGAGAAACACCAAATAGATAAAGGCAAGTGTACGTTATAAGAGAGAGAGAATAAACAAAGATTTAAGGGAACCTTGAATATTCCAAAGAAAGAATAAAAATTAAAGTAAAAAAATAGGTCGATTTTTCCCGATATCCTTTATTCAATAACAATTTACAAGACTTTATATACTTTTGCAAATGCATAAAGTATTATCAGAGAATCAGTAGCATAAAAAAAAATAAACAGATCAGGACATGGACGAGGGTAACTGATGATAAGGAAAGAAAATAAAACATCAGACAAAAGAAACGTCAAATGGAAGAGAGAAAACAAAACATATGATCTGAGCGAATGTCATCGGAAGAAGCACCCAATGTATATCGAACCACCCAGCTAAACCTAGAACCTCACCGACCAAAAAGGAAAGTGCACCCCAACTGTATATGGCCATCAATTCACTTGAGCTCCGCCAGCAAGTTGTAGGTCACCTGATCAACCCAGGGGTCCTCCTTCAGTTGGTGTCGACTATACCCGTTCTCCACTATAGACCATTCAGCCAATCATATTTCCCGTAGCGCTTCGCATAAACATATCTCCCACTGCAAATGATTGGAGAAAGTAAGCGTTCAGTTTTAGAATAATTGAAGACAAACACGCCAAAGATCATGCAAACACACAATATTTTATGGATGTTTTAAACGTTTTTCGCGGCAGTGCAGTTAACGTTTAGTATTCATTAAGAGAGCAAGTGGAAGTCATTTAGCATTCTTTTACCAGAGCAGTCGACACGTTTTACTCAATACTTGCCAACGTTTGGGCAACGAATCATAATTTTTAAAGCATTTCTTTATTTGTCCTTTTGTTCTTTTATCGACCGCTCATATTGCCTTATATACTTCTTTAACAACCACTCATATTGCTTATATACTTCTTTATTAACCATTCACATTGCAATAAATATTGCTTTATATATACAAAAAAATAGGGATTTGTTTTATAAAAAATATCTTTTTTTTATTTAAATAAAATAATAATAACAATATACAGTATTTCTTTGCTTGTAGTGTTTTAAAAGCTTACTTGACTTACCTAATGTCATCACGATAGCATCATCTAATCTAAAAATACATCGATTAATTTCGTGGGACTCAAAAAGTTCTCCCAAGAAAAAGAAAAAAAAAAAAAAAAAAAAAAAAAAAAAAAAAAAGCCGAGCACAAGAATGCAAAGACACAAAGGATCAAGGACTTGAGCAATCAAAGCAAAAGAAAAGATATCAGTACTTAAGAACCAAAGCAAAACCAGAAAAAAGATAGAAAGAGGCCAAAGCAAAGCAGCATTCATCTATAATTATTGGCTATCGTGTATACATAGTAAAAGTAATAGTACCTTTTTTAGATAGACCATGGGAAAAAAACTAGTTAAGCATTATCAACAAGTAAAAAAGAAGCAGCATGTATCTATAATAACTATTAGCTATGAAGGATATGTAGTAAAAATAATATCACCTTATTTTAGATGAACCAGGAAAAAAAGAAAAAAGAAAAAAAAACACGCCATCCATGCTTGTACCAACAAGTAAAAGAAGAAACAACTGTAGTCTTGAGAAAGAGACTTTATAAAGACCATTTAAACCATAAAGAAAGCAGGCAATACGATTTTACTAAAGTAAAAGTACTATTAGAGCAGGAATAGAATATATATAATATTAAGAACTTACCTTTTATAAAAAAGAGAAGAAGAAAAAAAAAAAGAGAGAAGTGCTTTTTTTGTAGCCTTATTTTTACCAATGTTACACTTATTCACTGTCTATCCATGTTAGAAATCAAAAACAGTTACTTTTCATGTAGTTTATATTTAATTATGTCTCAAAAGATAACTTATACATTGTTTGAGCAAGTTTTATTACTTGAGTGCAATATCTTTAACATGGAGAGTATTCTTTTTTTCTTTTTTTTTTTTATTTTAGGTTAAAAAAAATTCGGTCTTAACGGACTACAGCAGTAAAGCAGCTTTTTTTTTCTCCCTGGTTTTGTTTTATGGAATACACTAGATACCAAAAGTACAAAAGATAAAAAAGAAAGCTCAAGCACTGGTCAAACGTAAGTTCATAAAAAAAAAAATAACAACCAAGTCTAATGTCGGTTTCTTTTTTTTTTTTTTTTTTTACATTAGGAATCCCTAATGGGACACATTCGGATGACGAACATGAATCTCATGAGCAAAGTTGTTCTTTCCAACATGATGAAGCAATAAGAATAACAGACTTTATTGTTGCTTGTTACTGAAAAGATATTTTTGGTAAAGAAAGTTGCCATTGCTCACATCTCTAATGGCTAATGGCTAATGGCAAATTATGTCGTATTTTCCTTATTAAATACTCAAATGTCGTGTGAGATTACTCAAGATCTCCATGTCATATAATTTAAAACTACCTCTATATAACACTACGTGTTATATAGCCATCAGTACTCATAAACAACTTTAGTAATTTACATTGCGCAACTTCGGTTCTTCAATTATTAATTTTATAAAATCAGACGTAGTTTGTATTTAATGAGCTCTCTCTCCTGTCTTCACTCAATAAAGAGGTTCAAGAGTCTCATCGATTATCAGTTTCCTGTTTACACTTTATTTTTACTTTTAATCGACTACAAACTACTCACCAATATCACAAATTACACCCATGTGCAAACATAAAGTAAGTAATGAACTAGTATAAGCTTAAAAACATATATTCTTTTACAATATTTGTCATAAAAAATAATAAAACAATCTATTTATTTGATAAGCAAAAAAGTTTTGTATGTATTTGTTAATTATAACTGCCTTGTAACAAAATGTTAGCAGAGCTTCTTTATTTTTTATTCTTTTAGAATATACACGTATTCTTTTTTTATAATGTAATAGCATTTGCATTTCTATAAAGTATATTTGTTGTTAGAGTACTGTTTTCATTTGAACAATGAACTTTTTATAGCTATACTCTTTTCTTTTCTTTTTTTTTAACTTCGTCTTTTTTTTTTTAACTTAGTCTTTTTTTTTACCAGGCCATTTTTTTTTCCCAAACACGACTATTTTGTTACGTTCTGTAACACGTTTGTAATGATCTAAGCTAAAAATCACAAACCACCTTCCTAATATGTATTCTTCTGAACAAAATAATCGCAAAATGCTTTTGATTTCCGCATTTTGCCCTCAAAAATAAAAAAAAGAAGATATCGGTCTTTCAACGATAGAGAGGAACAGGATTTCCAAAAAAAGATCATTTGAAAAAAAAAAGACACTTTTTTAAAACATGAATAACTTTATAAATACTTACGCTACAAAAAAAACAAAAATATTGTTCAATTTCTTTATTTTTTTCGCACCTGAATCTTTTTTCAAAATTCGAAAATGACCAATACAGCGAGCGTTAATTTTTTTCATTTAATCAAAGACGTCAAAAACGTTGATTTTTAGATGCAACAACTGACTGTAGATGTTGACAATCACCAATTATTTCCAGTGGCGAACCGAGTTGAGTTTATCAACCAGATTTACTAGTCACCTACCACGATGTCGTAGCAAAACGTAGATTTGTTCCAACTCCACGCCAAAGATCTTCTGGAACCTTAAAAAGGAAAGCGCCATTAAATGTCTTGAAGTTGCGTCTTGTACATGGCTCAAAGAATATTACGCGCTCATTGACAAAGAACAGAGACCGTTGTACAAGTAACCATGACAACTTAACCGCAGCAATGAACCGCAGCAATATGATTATTTTAGGAAGTCATCAGACCATTATGAAAACATATAAATACTCGTTATTATTTTAAGAAAATAAACATTATCTTTCAAGTTCAAATATCTTTTATTAAAACATTTATAACAAACTACTACTGGTTGGCCCTCTCTCAAGCACGACAACGAGGAGTTTGCGGATTTGGCGGAGTGGTTAACGCGTGACGTTCAGGTCGTCATCACGAGAGTGGCGCGAGTTCGAATCTCGCAGTCCGCATTTTACTGAAAGATATACAGTCAAGTTTTTTAGTACCACGCCAGTTAGAAAATGAACTTTTGCGTAACAACCTATTTGAAAACGGAGTATCAACTCTTTTGCTTGAAAACCAAAAACAACATTGTAACACTGTAACGAAAATGGCAATGAAGATGCACAGAGATTAGCCGAGTCAAGTCAAAAAGATAAAAAAAATTAAAAAAATGAAAAAAGTTATAAAGATAAAAAATGTTGAAAATATAAAAAAGGTCAAAAAAATAAGAAAAGCTAAAAAGAAAAAAAAAATATTATACATATATATATATATCCCATCTTTTTGTGAAGAAATGGTCAGTCAGTTAAAATAAATCATATATTTCTACTCAATAATTAACAAACTTTAACAAGAAAGTCCCTGTTTACCTAAACTTTTTACTCTACTTTAACTTTTATCAAGAAACATCGTATTGATCTTACACATAAGATCTGGTGGTCACTACTTATCAAGCATCTGCTTAAATTCCATACAAAACAACAACTTACAAGGCAATCACAACCTTAAATCAAGCTTTACAAGCAAACTTTACCCAATTTAACACTCAAACTTACAAGCCAACCTTTAAAATAACAACACACTGTGACAAAGAAGTCAAAAAATGAAAAAAGTCAAAAAATGAGAAAGGTCAAAAAAATGAAAAAAGTCAAAAAAATGAAAAAAGTCAAGAAAATGAAAGAAGTCAAAAAAATGAAAAAAGTCAAAAAGAGAAAAAAAAAAAATTAACAATATAAATATCCCAACTATTTAGATGAAGAAAAAGGACAGTACAGTTCTACTCACATTTTATTTTATATATTTTATTCAATAAACAGGCAACCTTCTCATAAAAGTTCCTGATCCCTTTATTTTTTTTTTACCTTTACCTTTATTTGATCTTAATTAAAAGATCTGGTGGTCACTACAGTACCTTACTTTAAAAATTTCAAGAAAAACTTCTCTAAAACACTCAAACTAAACCAACCATACTACAAAATAACAACACGAAACACGAAAAAGGAAACCCCTATGGTTATAGGAGAGATGCTATCTCAATAGCAAACGATGCTATGCTAATAGCAAAGGAATTCAAGGACAACAAAAAAAAAAGAAGAAAACAAAAGACAAACCAAAAACAGCATAAAAATATGAAAATCAAAAAACATATAAATATCAGTATCTTTTTATAAATATTTCAATTATTATTATTATCTTATCCTATTATCTTACCTATTATTTTACATTACCTTACTTTATCACAATAAATATCCTTTGAATCCAAATATCTCTTTATTTTATTTGTATAAATAGGAAGAACCAATAATCCCTTGAAACTTATATTTCATTGTAGATCCCTTTTATTTTATCTTTACTTTACCTTTATTCTTTTTATTCAATTCAAGTCTGATCAACTTAATAAGATCTGGTGGTCACTTACACTCAAACATACATCTATTCAATTTTACTTCTTTGGATATAAATTATATTCAGCACCTTCTTCAAAACACGATATATTATATTAACAACTTACCTCAATCCTATCTAAACCCTGAAATATAAAGATTTCACAACATAAAATTATAAAAACCAAAAACATATAAATACCCTTATATCTTATCCCTATTTTTACTTAACTTCACTTCACTTCACTTTACTTTTGAATTTTATATTCTTTTTGTATTTTCTTTATTTTATAAAACAATAAATCCATCAAGCGTTCAATTGAAACCCTTTGGTCTGTGTTCTATTTTAAATACTGAAGTCCCTTGAAGTCAATAATCTTCATTGTAAACCTATTTCTAAATCTCAAGAGTTTAACCTATTCTAACAAGTTTGATCTACTATTAACAAGATCTGGTCGTCACTATCGACAAAACTTACGTACTTAAAAACCTAAACCCGCAAACAAGCAATATATTAAAGAAAATTACATTACATTATTTTTACTCTAGTGTCATATGTTTCATTCCCTTTGTTAATTACTATAAAAAGATTATGAAGATGTGAACTCCGAAACTACTTTCAAGCTTTAATTTTTGACGTTTTGTAAACCACTTTACAAATTGTCATTATTTTACCTATTTGACAAAATTTTAACCATTTGATATATTTTTTACCTTTTGATATTTTTTTAACCTTTTGAAATATTTTTTAACCACTTCAAGATTTTTTTAACCTTCGTCAATATTTTTACTTTTGTAAAAATTGAACTTTATATTTTTTGCTTATAGAAAGCCTAGCTTTTTATTCTCTTTTTGAAAAACTTTACTTAGCTTGACTTAACTTGACTTTTTTAACAATATAAATATATTTTATCAATAAACCAAGTATCTTTATCCCTGAATCTTTTGGTATAACACTCTTAAAATACAAGCAAGACAAGTCCCTTGAAGCCAATTATCTTCATTGTAAACACTTTCAGAACTCTTATCAAATTACCTTATTACAAACAAGTCTTATCAACTCAACAAGATCTGGTGGTCACTATTAGCAACGAATCTACCTTTAAAAACTCTTATCAAATCTTCTTATCAACTCTATTATCAATCTAAAAGCCTATTCAAATCTCAAGCCATTAAAGCAATAAAAATTACAATAGAGTTGCACGAACGAGAATTTAGTCCTCGATACAAGCATGAATAATTACAGTTTGGATGAAGAACATTGTAACACGCAAGAACAAAACGGCGAAATTTAAATCCTTGCAGTTTATAACGAACGTCTTACAGTTTGCAACGACCACCTTACACTATACAACAACCGCCTCTTATGTTATAACAATCACCCAAAATACCAAAAACAGAACAAAATCATAAAATCCAAAAACATATAAATAACCTCAAATAATAATCACAAAAATACTTACAATAGCGGACAAAACTGGTGCACAAAACTTTTTTTCAGCTTTTAACTACCATTACTTGCTCATGGTGATTGCAATAGCTATGAAACTATATTAGAAGGAAGATATGCTAGCCATTGTAATTTACGTGTATTCCTAGCATGACATTGTTAAAACTGAGCAAAGAGCATGCTTTTCATTTATAAAAATCTATATTTTCTAAAAACCGCAAAAGTGGCTAAAATCTAAGACTTTGTATAATCATCTCACCTCTTGATATTATCGAATATTCTTCTTGGCATATGCTAGTAGTATGTGTGTATATCATTTTCAATAAAAGAGCCCAGCTCTTTAACTATTCTTTTCAAAAGATAATCTACCCTTTTTGGTCTAGCGTCGTATCGTCATAGCTTTGCCTTCAATTGCCACCGAGTATGCTTAAGAAGAATTAGGCCGGGATTAGTTGCGACTAATGCCTTAGCACAGAAGCCCTGTTATCAAATATTGAGTTTGTGGCATGCCTTGGCTTGTGCTTTGTGTCATTGTCATGCTGAAACGAGAGATTACGATATTTTAGACCACTATACCCTAGGCTTTTGTGGTATGTGGTAAGCAAAATACATGTGTATACCTATGACTTTATTATAGCATCGTATACTTGACACAAATATCCTGGTCCTCAATATCTAATACAGCCTTAAAATGTAACAGAGCAGCCAGCATGCTTCATTGTTTGATCACCGTAGAAAAATCGCTAAGATTGCTCGACTTGCTTTCAATATTAGTGTATACTATCTGCACTCATAACCTTCATGTTTTTTTCATTGCTAAAGATGATGGACTTCCAGCCCTTTATAGTATGCGATGGTTTGTCGTGATACCACTTTCATCGCTTTTTCTGGCTTATACAGCTAATGAAAATCTTCGATTCCTTAGTTCCAGACTCAAAATCTAGCTTCCTACAGTGCTTTCTGACTGACAGTTTGCTAATACTGTATCCTAAGGACCTCAAAAAGAGCTGAGCATCAGAAGCTGTGCGTAAAGGTCCTTGTCGAAACTTTAGGCGGATGATTGCATTAGTTATTTTTCTGACTACGACCGGTCGACTACCACGGTCACAAGCCTTGATGTTCTTTTCTTGCTTTCTTATCCTGTTGATTGTCTATTTGGAGATTCCTGCTGCCCTAAAAAGATCCGCTGGCATACGAACTAAGTGTATTCGAAATCTCAGAACTTCGCTTTTACAGTTACTTACAGTGGCTACCAAAACCGTTCGCACAAAACGTATTTTTTCCTTTCTGAATCTTTTGTGACCTATTGCGCATACAAGATACCATATCTAATACATATTTCCTAAGAGTACAAACTCTTGGCTTTCTGATGAAGTATAAAATGTCACCCTATGCGCACCCTAACTCGTACTACGGAGAATCAAATCTCAAAGGCACATTCGAACGGTTTTGGGGCCACGCTTGAGGAATTCTTCGATTGCGATAAACGCAGTCACTGCATCCTCCAATTCTTCCAGAACTTTCGCTGCTTACTAATTCACCACTGCGCATTATTTTTTTGCCTTTTTTTCTTTGTCATTCGCACATTCTCATTTCGACATCTCGACATCTACCAAGTAATTACCCAACATGCAACCATTAACAGAAGATCGCAAGAACACTATCGAGTTTTACCTTCGTCAAGGTTTTTCTTATCATAAAATTGCAAAGTTAGTCAAAGTATCATCCTCTACTGTTCATAAAATTCGTTTGGAGTTAGGTTTGCCTGCTCGAATTGACAAAGGTGGTAGGCCAAAAGCGCTCACTAAGCGGGAACAGCAGCATCTCGTTCGTGCTGTAACAGTAGATGGTCTCGAAAATGCTGTACAAGCACAGCAGTCGTTAGAGCAGAACTTGGGCAAGTCAGTTTCTGTAAATACTGTACGTAGAGCGTTAAGAGATGCTGGTTTGGTCTCATTTGTCAGGCCAAAGAAACCTTTAATTAATGAAAGAAATAGAAAGAAGAGGCTCCAATGGGCTCGTCAGCACATTGACTGGACAGTAACGATTTGGATGAACGTCATATGGTCTGACGAAACCAAAGTCAACCGTTTTGGGTCCGACGGGAAGTCTTATGCATAGAAATTGCCAGGCC